AACAAAATGAAAAAATAAATCGTAGACAGTCAATATGGTATTCAAAAGCGTGGTTTAACTGAACCAAATCAAAACTTACTACAAGCATACTATTGAGTATGCAATTTGAACCAGCTATTATTATCTCTAATCTAATTCTTATCATTAATTTGTGTGAAAAAAGCTCATTCTTACCTTATGAACTTTAAAATCTTATCAAAACAGTCTTCGAAAAACGCTCAAATTTTTTCTATCAAGTTATCAAAGTCGAACGGTTTGTCTCGTTTGAAGGCCAAAAAAATGAGAGCGGCACACGCAAAAAAAGAGAGTAAAGTTATGGGAGAATTTGCAAAACTCGTGTGCCAATCTAACAAATGGAAACCTTCTATGTGCGACATGAGTCTATTATGTGAGTCTGCACAAAAACGCGACAACCCACTACCGAGATGTTCTCTTAGCAACCCCAAACTAGGCAAGATGATCACATAACTCAAATAATAAAGAGCGTTTATTGAAGAATTCTACATGTACATAGCTCTATAGTTCAAAACTCTCCCTTGGCGCGAACGCTGAACGCGAACGCTTGCGAAAGCCGCTTACCGATGGCAAGAATGTACTCTATGTGGTCTTTTTTAAGCACCTTGAAGAGCACTTTTCAGGGACTCTCCTTTGTAAAAAAAGGTTTAGGATCGCCTTAGGAACCAACTAGACGCTGTTGTCGAGAAATTCACCTGCGAATAAGGGAAACATTTTGCAAAATGAAATTTCCAACGTTGCTTTGATGCCATGGTTGAAAAAACCCCGGGCCAGCACGTTGTCGCTGTTGTCGGCCCCCCAATCCACAACGAAACCCGGATGACTGTTTTCTTCAACAAGCCTATCTTTGTTTGTTGACATCTTGAATCAATCTAAAGATGATCCTGTCATTTCACAATCCAATACCGGGTAGCTTGATAATCTTTGATAGCAAAAGAGATGGTCTGGTGGCGCGCTCAAAAAAACCACCAACTCAAGCACTCGACGGCAACTGTGGAATTGTTTCAGCTTCTGACTGCCCTGGAAAACGTAATTTTCTACAATCCATGAATCGTAGTAGGGTACTGCTTCAAAATGTCGGGGACGGCCCTATATTGATCGACAGCTCTAAATTCGACTCAATTAAGCTTCTCTGAGGTGGGTAGGAGAAAGAAAACCCCCAGTTTGGGCCGCCTCCGCGGACTACTGGTCCTGGAACGGCATGCAGCGACTGCAAAAGGACCAGTTGGCAGAGAAAGTCGGCTTTTCAATCTCAGTGGGTAGGAGAATCGAAGGCCGCCAGTCAAACTGGCGGCCTTCGATTCTCCAACCCACTGAGATTAAAAAAATGCGAGGGTTACCTCCCATTATTTTTGAGCGTTCGCGCTCAGACAATCGAGGGAGGGTTCCGGGCTCTGCCCAGCGGGGGGTTTGCCACTCGTGCTCCGGAGCCCTCCCATTTCACCCATTTTGATGCTCCGGGGCTCCTCCAAATCTGGCGCACCTCCGGAGCAGAGATTTGCGAGCTTTGGGGAGGGCTCCATTCGCCTTCTTGTGACGTCACCCTGACGTCACCGTCCGCTGGGCAGAGCCCGGGACCCTCCCATTTTCGCTGCGGAGGCATGCCGTCGATTGTCTGAGCGATAGCTCTTTGCTCAGCCTTTTCTATCCACATGCATCTTCACGCAAAGCATTCGCCCCACTTGAGAAGGCATAATTTCTAGAAGAATGAAGCTGTCATCCTGGTTTTTGAAGGTTTTTTTATAACAAATATAGGCGGAGAAACAATGATTCAAATTGTGTTCAGGGACTTTCCCAACCTTGCAAAGGTTTCTGGCAGAGCAAACGTTGAGTATACAACAATTCAGTATTCTCTCAATCAGGCTAAAGAAGAAAAGAAAACAAGGAATAATTTTTGAAATGCAGTGAAAGCAGAGCAGGAAGAAAAACGATGACGTCAGACGTGTTTAAGGAATTTCCCGACTCTGTAAAACTTTCTAGCGATACGAACCGTTTAAACGTGTACAACAATTCAATATTGCTGCAATCAAGCTAAAGAAAAAAGGAAACAAGAGAATTCCCTGTAAATCAACTTTTAATTATTTTGGGCAATACATCAATTAAGTTGCAAATGGCGCTGCCACGTCTCCACTCTATAGGAATTCGGGAGCCAACGATATACACACTTTACGGTTCATAACATTAAGCTGTAAATGATTCCATTAATCAATTTTTGGTTGGGTTCCTTCCTCTGGTGATAACAAGTCCATTCATCACTCTTTCAGCTCTCATTTTCTCTACTTGTGATTGAACAACCTGATAAATCGCGCTGGATATCGTTCAAAGGCTGTGCACTTTTCTTGAGAATTTGTGTCATCTCTCCAAGATTCTTGTCTTGATATGAAAATATAGTAACAAATACAATACAGCACTACTATGTATGTATATCGTATAATACAATACCACAATTGGACAACAACTACAATGTTCGGTTTGACATATTTTCCCTAACTTCGCTAAAAAGGGAAGGATAATCGGTCGAAGTGGCCATTTGGAATGAGCTGTATATTAGGAAACCGTCCTCGGTAAGGCAAACTCAAAACTACTTTCGCTAGGTGCCGAGCGGTTTTGTGGGGAAAGTTACAAGGCCAATTTCCTCCGGCGCAGCCGGCGCACCCAGTGATGAGCGAGGCGCGAGATCAACGCATCACTGGCGCAGTGGCAAGAAAGCGGCGTACGAAGCAGATGATCGAGGGTTCGAGTACTGTTGCTGCTGTTTTGTTTTGCAGTCTTGTAAAAAGTTTATTGGGTGACAGTAAACGAAAAATACTCATTTCTAAGCAGTTAAAACAAGCTATTTACTGCAAAAAAGTCACTGTTTCTACAATAAGCTATAATCTTCTACAATATGTAAATCCGTGGAGGTTATGATGTCACAACAAGGGATTCAAGTGAATATTAACATGTATGGAATACAACCACAACCGGATACATTGATACAATACAACGGGATAACAATACAATTGGATACAATACAACCCCTTGTATTGTATCCAATTGTATTGTTATCCGGTTGTATTGTATCATTGATACACGATCACGGATACATTGATAAGCACCCCCGGCGAATTCGAGTCTCCTATTCAGTACTGTTTTTCACCAACTTTGATAGGCAATTGTGAAGCAGATGATTGTCATCGTTTATATTTTATCCGATGTGCGCGCGAGAAGCTCTTCTGCTGTAGCATTTTGTGGTTGTATTCCATACATGTTAATATATCATTTGAATCCCTTGTTGTGACATCATACCCTCCACAGATTTACATAATGTAGAAGATTATAGCTTATTGTAGAAACAGTGACTTTTTGCAGTAAATAGCTTGTTTCAACTGCCTAGAAATGAGTATTTTTCTTTTACTGCCACCCAATAGACTTCATATAGGACAGTAAAAGAAAACAGCAGCAACAGAACTTGAACCCTCGCCCATCCGCTTCGTACGCCGCTGTCTTGCCACTACGCTACTGCCACACTAATGCGTTATTCTAGCGCCTCGCTCATCATTGGGTGCGCCGGCTGCGCCGGAGGAAAATGGCCTTGTAACTCTCCCCACAAAATCGCTTGGCACCTAGCGAAAGTAGTTTTGAGTTTGCCTTACGGAGGACGGTTTCCTAATTTACAGCCTATTCCAATTGGCCACTTCGACCGATTATCCTTCCCTTGTAAGATATTCAATCAGCCTAAATATTTCATTGAAAAAATTGGCACAGTTGCATCGTGGTATTTACGAGGAAATGGTCAGAACTTAGCCCAGCCATCCCAAACCTGTATATCATCGGACTCGCCTTAAAATGCTAATTTCGAAAATTATCTGCCAAGCGATCATCTGGGGAGGAGCTATGAGCATTCATATATGAAAATTTTTCAAGTTTTAACGAATATATTTCCTTGAAAGGCAGCCTGATGGCGCGGATTTACAGCGGCATGGTCACTTCAAATACAGGGACGAAGCACATTCAACAAAAATCTGAATGAGTGTTTTTAAAACCTATTTCGTTAAAGGCAGTGGCTCGGCAAATCTCAACATAGTCAAATTTTCGCTTACCTGGGGTTATTCAATACGCTGATTCCGAAAATCCACTTTTGAGAGCTTGAAAATGCCGAAAACGAGCGTTTTTCAATGCCCTTCCCCTTGGAACTGGACGAGTGCTGCAAGGCTGATGACGCCGAATCGTTGCAGGACCCAATGGTTATAGCATTGCGGCGGGCAGCCTCCAATGGTAAGAAGGAAATTGCCAACTCGTCCAGATGCGTGTAAGAATGGCCTGCGCGTGTAAGTTTGAGAGCAATTTTCTCGGCAAGGAAGGTATGCTGTGCAACCGGGATTGCACTGTTTTCATACTTGGGCAGTAAGGAGTCTATCGCGTTAAAATTTTGAATTGGAATATTGCCGAGCCACTGCCTTTAAACATGCGCCCGCTCATAACTCCTCCCATAAAGTCGCTTGGCAGATCAAACATATATTTGAAATCAGCGTTTCAAGACGAGTCCGATGATAATATACAACATGTTTGGCTTGGCTGAGTTAGGTGCTGACCATTCCCTACTTAGCTTACAAGAAGGGAATACTCAAAAGTCGAAGTGGCTATCTCAAACAAGCTGCACACCATTCGATGCAACAAAGAACCCTGATTTGAAATCTATGATCTGTATCTGCAGAACGCCTTTGTTGGCGAAATTATGAACAGTTTGAATGCGAAAAAATCGTACATAAAATCTGCGAAATTAAGCAGATTATTGAGCTTTTACTCACCTTTAGGTGTAGCTAATATGAACTAACCTAGCTGCATGTTTTGGTTCAGCATTAAATAGAACATGGCTGCGTGACGCCAAATTTGCACTTTACATGGACGATTTCTTAGCAAGATAAAGGTCTTTTATGGCTCATAACTTCATCCATAAAAGGGTTGTGCAGATAAGGAGGACAGATTCAGAGTCAGCGTTTTATGCTACATCTAATGGTATGCAGCTTCTTTGGATTCGCCACTTCGATTTCTGACCATTCCCTTGTTGGCATTTTATTGCCACTCAACTCAAACTTCGTAAAACATCAGCGAATACACTCATATCTACACTAACAGTGAGTTTTGTCCTGGTGCTCCAATGATTTCTTTTCTCCTAGTCAAATGAGTTATGCAATGATGGCGAATTGAAGAGATCACGATTATTGACAGAATGAAGGTGCAGAACTTTTTGACTAAACTAAAAGGACAAACTTTTCGTATCACTTTTCAGGTAAAAGCTTGGAGTACACCCTCAGTTTCTAAGTTTTGAACAAACCTATATTTTGAAAGCCATTGTTGGTAAGAGATAGGGTGCACCAAAAGCCAGACTGTTCGGTTGTGAGCAAATTTCTTGCCTTAAAGTCAAATCGCGGATCTACGAATATCATTCTGTAGAATTAGCCTCAACCTACAAGGATAGAGTAAAATGTTGCAGGGGCTTTTTTCAAAGTGATGTATATTTGAAGTAATGTGAATGACCTGAGGTCTCTGGAATTTAACAACCAAACTGAAGGAGTTGTTAAAACTGCCGCTGATCTAAAAAAACAGCTCTTTGATGAAATGTTATTGGACACTGTGCACATAATCTTAGGGCATTCTACTTGCGTCGAACTGTGTAAAAGAGTAAATCTTATAAATTGAGCATCACATCTCAATCTCGTGTTGTACCAATTGATCATTTCATAAAGTTTTTTGTTGTGGTGAAAAAAATTTTTACTAGCTTAGCCTTCGACGGAAATCTTCGTTATCGACGTCATTAAGTCAAGGTTCAAACTATTAGATTGTAACAGAATTAATGCAGGTTTTTCGCGCACCTTTTTCAGAACGCTGGTTCAAAACAGGAAAGTAATGTCCCAGCACACCTTCGACACATAGAGCCATGTACTTTGGTAATCTTCACTTTGAGCGTCATGATAGAACACAGCCTTCACTTGGAGAGAAGTTCAGAAGTCATCTAGGGCGAAGCCCCCGACATTATGATAGCTAATGACATAATCATATAGGGATAAACGTGAATGAGGCAAATATAGCAGTGACAAAACAAGCTCAAAAACTAGAGGTTTGCGTTTTTACGGCCTTTTTTGCTGAAAAGAAGTTTTTATTCAAAAAGTCAACCAAAACTAGCACAAAATTTGTCAATTCTTCCTCTAGACTGCGATTGAGCGTTGAAAGTTCAAACGAGAAACTGCGCTCAAATCTTGCCCAGAGACTCGCCACATAAATGCTGGTCTACCTCGTTATGAAGTGATTTTCAAGACCCGCTACGTTGTCAGGTGCCCCTGGCCGTTTCATGGGGATCACAACGATATATAATGTTATAGGGTTTCGTTATGATCCCGCGGAGATCAATGACCAGAGCCAAATGCCCCGTCGGCTCTGGTCTCTCTCCGCTGCTCGTCTGTGTCTCCGCACGTTGCGCGCTACCTCGCTACCTCAAATGCGGGGCGCGGAGCATTCACCTCTGGTACCCTTTTCTTCGTTGTTCCGAGCCCAATTTCGACAGTCTATATGTCATATTAAAGCTTTTGATCTCTATTTGCACGCGGACAACGTCGCAAGACTCCTTTTTTGAGTTAAACGAGAAATCTGGGAAAAACGGCGTTTTCAAAAACCTCTTGTTTTTTCTTCAATTTAACTTTCACTAAGTTTTTTTCGTGTAATCGATAGGTCTTGCTTCTGTCTATGATGTAGACATCGCCGAGCTTACTTCCTTGCTTATGCCGGTTTTTTTTGCGAAAATTACTAAAAAGTGCGTTTTGCTTTAGCTTTTCTCTTTCAGTGCTTCTGCAACGAATTTTCTTTAGCATGGACGATACTTGCTCAAAATGATGAGCGGAAGAATCCAGACAACGTCGCAGGATACGAAACGACTGTGCGGGGGTGAAAATTCAAAGAACGCATCAAAAATCAGATTGGCGTCGATGTGCAACATATCTTTTCAAACATGTTTAACATGTTCAATTCAGTTGTTGACAAGCTTCCTTCTTTCGGTTTCCTAACTATCGCCACAGCTAAACAGTGTTTTTTTAATTGGAAAAGAACTTTGCTCTTGTTGCCACCCATTTTAACCGGCAATCCTGAAGAGAAAACTGTGCGTAGGGAACCAGCAAGTTGAGGTTTCAAATTTGGTAATGCGCTAACCTCTGCATTATATAAATTTTTTAAGTTTCCTGGTTTAATCCATTTCTCTAAATTTCCATCTATTTTTCTGAAACAACCTTCACTTTTTGTAAGGGGCAGGAACGCAAACAACCATCACTTTCTAGCCTCTGTCTCTTGACTATCGAAGGTTTGTTTCCCAGAGAGTTTTGCGTGTCATTTGGAAGCTCTTTTCTTCTAATTTCTTGTGCATTCTTTTTCAATGAAAGTGAATTTGTCTAGAAGTTCTAAGCCCTTGAATTTGAGAAACCAATTCTCGAAATTCTTCCTTTCAATATACCTGGCTCTAAAACCACCAGAAAAAATCAGAATTTGCTGCAAATTTACATAGTACTTTTGAATGAACTATGTTACAAAATGCACGTTGAATCATGAATTCTGAAAGCATCTGAGCCGGAAATTTCAGAGCAAAATTGAACGGTCGCTGCGGTTCGTCTGCCCTATATAAAAATCCTCTGCCGGCTGCGCAGCTTCCGCTTTATATAGGAAGAATAGATTTTAGACATTCATGGCTGAAAAAATTGGGAGCAGTTCTCCGTATTCAGCTTTAGAAAAATTCAAAATTTCAGAGAAGCGATTTTTCAAATTCTCAGAAAAGTCGAAAAAATGAGTACTTTCAAAAATTTTTCAAATATACTCTCGCAAAGAATTCTTTTACAATTTGGAATTTAGCGCTGCTGCACAACCGACCATAAGCTACACAGTGAGTTATATTTCTGCTACCTTACTACATTTGGTAGCAAGTTATGGTCTCAAAGTAAAGGTCTTCCAAAAAAAATTCTTGGTAGAATTCGGGCTATAAGATTTATCTCAGTGAAGCTACAACAACGCAATAATGCATACTGAGTTGAAAAAGGTTTGCTGATTACAACAACTTGTTGCATACGAAAACACTATTTGTGTAAAAAGTTACAATGATCCAAACACAAAATTCAGAAAATCTGCATTTATTCTGTTACAACCTAATAATAATGTGTTGATGCTACTAATCCAACCAGTAACCTATTCTAAATTTAGACATCAGAATTACCATATGTCGTGTGGAAGATTAGCGAAAAGGGACAAATTTTCGGTACATTCTTCTTTTTGATCCCATTTCCAGATGTAACAGTCGCACCCTGGTTATTCTAAGAGCGAACACGCAACGAGTTTTTGCGTGAGAACATTTGCCGTGAGGCGTTGCAACTACGAGGGTTATACAGGGTGTCCCAAAAAAACGTATACATTGTTTGATCGTTAATAACTTCTTTACTTTGATGTGTCTGCCACCGATCTTTAGGTACCATTCTGTAGAGCGAGGTTCCACTTAAAATTACCGCATGGAGCAATCATCGATCGCTTTTCATTAGTGTGGGATTGGGTAGGAACTTCTAAAGCATTTTTGCGGGTGGAGGACATTTAAGAGGGCGGTTCCCGCGGTCATTTGCGACAAATACGCACCCTTGTACATAAGAGGACATGCGTTCTTGCAGGGAATCCGCGCGGGACTCTTCCAAATTCGGCGACCTAATGTCCTCCACCCTATTTTTGCCATATTCTGCCTCGGAACAAAACCAAACAAACCAAAAGCTCTCATACTTAGATAATGGAAGCCGCTGATTTCGAATATGAAATATCCACTTTACCATGTTGCTTCTTTCTCAAGTTATCCCAGGTAAAAAGCTGAAAACACTTGTAAAAGTTGTGTGGTGGAAAGCGTGCGCGAAAACCTACATAGTACATGATTTTTCAGATTTTTTGAATACAAATTTTGTCAAATGGCTATTTCACAAGGACCCATGTTTATTTATTTATTTATTTACATTTTCATTTATTCCATACGCTCATGGCGTTCCTTATAAAGAACAAAAATACACCGTCACTTTATACTTCAATCATGATAGTTCATCATCATGTAGTTTGGGTCCAAGTTTTCGGACTGCATTATCAAAAGTGTGATGAAATCCTGTTGACTGCATTACGATTGTAGTCAACAGAATTGAGTTAGTGTGATTCGTGGAGTTGATATCCATGCCTCTTTTTCGCCAACAAAACAATTTCGATTGTAAAGAAAGCGTGTACAGTGGAAGCGTGTGATCACCTTTATCATGCGAAGGAAAATCATCAATAGAAACATTTATTGTAGTTGGAACCAGTAGCAATATGCAGGATGTGAAGCGGGAGCGGGGACGAGAAGTGAGACCGTGGACTATGGCATCAGCGGATAGGTGGCCAACGTCAGGGACGAGGAGCTGCTCGTTCGGGACGGCCGTCGATGATCGAATGCTTGCCGAGTTCGCCGTCCGATACGCCTAGAATGTTTCAGCGTGAACAACATAGCTGCGAAAGAATGCATAACGCGCAGCGCTGCGTTTGATGGTTGATATACTGTCTAATCTCACCAAACCAGTATGCTGAGGTAGTGCAGTGATTCAAATGAATATCAGCAAGGATTGTAATGAAATGGATAACTCATATGTTTGGGAAGATCATATTGAGCCTATGATCAATGAGTGGTAGTCATACCAACTCCTTTGCCAGCAGGGAGTGCTCTCAATAAAATAAGCAAAGCGGGGCTCGAATAATAGTGTAACAGTACTAAAGAATTTGTTCAAGTGATTTCGGAGCAAGTCCGGTGACTCCGAAAGAATATCAATAAGCGCTTTTGAGTTTCAACTATAGCAAGTCAACAAGCTGCACGGATTAAAAAGGGCAAATTGATTAGACCTAAACTACTATAATGACAAGACATCAGTTAGTAAGGCATGTAAAAAGGAAATATATTAGGTTGAACCGAAAGTTCTGTCGCACAATTTTCAAAATATCATAACTTCTTTCCATCACGACGATTTTGAGCAGTCCAAATTTTTTAGAAAGGGTAAGGCATGTAGTTACCAAAACTCCACGGGGGCCTTCCAATATGCTCAGGTTGAAGAGATAAAAATGAAAGAACGAGTTCATCCGAAAATCGGAATTTTGAAGCAAAAATTCTAAAAATCTAGAAACCGTGCGATAAAATCCAGAACAGTCATCCTAAGTTTTTTATATTTTATTACTAACTGAGTCAAGTTTGTGCTGATCGAGCTCTTCTTTCAAAAGTTATGATTTTTTGAAAAAAATGCCAAAAAATTAATTCCCTAAGAATTCTTAAGAAATCGATTTATCGGCATTTTTTTCATAACTTATAACTTTCGAAAGAAAAGCTCGATCAGCACAAACTTGACTGAGATAGTAATAAAATATAAAAAACTTAAGATGATTGCTGTTCTGGATTTTATCGCACAGTTTCTAGAATTTTAGAATTTTTGCTTAAAAATTCCGAATTTCGGATGATCTCGTTCTTTCATTTTTATCTCTGCAATCTGAGCATATAGGAAAGTCACCAGGAGATCTTTGGAAACTGCATGTTATATGCTTTCTAAAAAAATTTGAACTGCATGAGATTATTGTGACGGAAAGAAGTTATGATTTTTTGAAAATGGTGCGAACGAACTTTCGGTTCAACCTAATATAAAGAAAAAAGTGCAAATCAAATGCTGCATTTGAAATTTAGTCTGTAGTTGAAAACTCCATGCACTCAAACTGAAGGAAACGCATCAGTACGACAGGACAAGCAGTGACCATGAAAAAGTTAAGATGACCATAAGAATGCATTACACATATTCCACATATAATATATGTGTCATAAGCCCTGTTTTACTTAGAGTATTTTTAGATTTACTTTCTTCAGTTCAAGTATGAAAATTTTACCATCTTTACAAGCCAAAATTTCACGAGGTAGTTTTTGAAGCATTTTTTGCGTACTATCAAAAAATCATATCCAAGAAAAAAGGGAAATTGTTTACCGCCCACCATTTGATAAATCATATGAATGGAAAAATCGGTAGTCCTCATGTCCATATGCTGCAAGTTCTTACCCTAATCATATAATAACGAAGAGCGACTGGTGATTCGCTCTTTACTGTGAATCTAAGTTGAACCCTCTACGGAATGGTACCTAAAGTTCGGCGAAAGGCATCAAAGCAAGGAAAATATTAACGATCAAACAGTGTGCACATTTTGGGATTGTATAAATATGTCATGAGCAGTGCTGAGTTCGGGAAGATTCGCGATTGAAGCAAACGGGGTGTGACTTGAACATCTAAAGGGTATCATCAACATAAGGAATACTCTTTCAGCCTATCAGGATATTCATCAGTTTTGGTTTTATTTTCTTTGGAACACTCTTATTCGATTATAATTCATGGTCAAAGGAATTCTATGGCATGGATGCTGAAATTGCGGGGGAGACCCTTAGCGAGGAGTTGCCAAAGCATGCCAAGGATTGTGTATCATTCTTCAGTCAACTGAATGAATCTATGGTAACAAAGATAGGACGAAGGAACTGCAGGAAGGCACTGACAAATCTGACGCTAATTGGAGCATATGCTTATTCAGATTATTCTGTGGTAACCATTGATTCATGTCAGTGGTATGGGTGAGTTCCATCATATAGTGAAAATCACCATCATATTTTACTATTTTTAGAAGGAAGGTGTACTGCCATTACTTCGATGCAGACTGGAAAGAACTGGGTCCTCCTGTCGAATCAGTAGTTTTTCCCGAATTTGCTGTACATTGTTGCAGACATCCCAGGGCGGCTTACATGGGGTTAACCGAAAGTGAAGATGAGGAAGTGAATTTTACAGTACCAATACTTGATAGAACTGTGGATAGTAAGTACTGAAAGCTTTTGCCAAAACTGAGGCCTGAGTAGTGCATTTAGAGCCTAAGTACAATTTGTCAGTGTGTCTTGCACCAATGTATGGAAATGAAAGCAAATGGTTGATGCTGGCCGAACTAATTGAACATTACAAACTGCAAGGTGTGCAACATGTGTACTTATATGTCAAGGATATCGATGATTACTCTCGTCTTGTGAGTTTAGGTTTTCAGTAAAACGGTGCTAATCTACTTTGTTTATCAAGAAAACATTCCAAATCTGTATTTCTATGAAACTTCTTCCAAGAGGTTTATTTCGCACGCTGATTATTTGAGTGGTAAGATCTCACACACTAACACCATTTGCTCGGGCTGTCACAGCGCTTGGAAAATGTGATTGTATCTGCTTTACGCCTGTATGTCTTGTAACTATCATTCGTTTCTTCATAATTCATTCAGGGTGTCCCAAAAATGTTCACGCCGTTTGATCGGCTTGCTTCGATGTCTTTCGCAGATCTTTAAATACCATCATGTAAAGCTTGCTTTAACTTAGACTTTGAAAGTGAACTTCCAACCTCTCTTTGCTACTGCAGTACTACAGTGTGAACTGCCAGCATATAGTGTCATTTTGTATTAGGCCGTTCAGTAAGAAAATTTGAAAAAAAAATCTGAAAAATTATATATAAGAATCTTCAAGCATGCTGATTCCACTGCCCACTTCTTACAAGATTTCTGACCTTTTTAGAGACGTAATCATACTTAAAAAACGCTGGAAAAGCAGTTATTTCTCTCTTTCTGAATTAACTTACGAAGGAAGCTTGAAGATGGTGTGGCATCACCATGATGAAATCGACTCAGATTAGCCCAGTAGAAGAATTCTAAGTTTGTTTGGTTTTTTCTAAGGCAAAACGCGACTCTTAGAGGCAACGTCCTTGTAAAATTTCGTTCTCCAATTTTCATTTTTCAGAGGCTCCCTGCCATGAGGAACCCATATTTGGGTTTCTCAGCGCATAAAAATGGCGAAAACGAGCTTTTCTTGAAGCCAGGTCTGCATTCTGTGGAAGGTACGTGTAAGTGGGATGGGTCCAAAACATTAGAGGAGGAGCCTGGAAGTACTCAGGCTATTTTCACTGAATGCGAACCTGGAAAGCTTCGAGAAACATCGTTCGCCATTTTCATTTGCTGAAAAGCCCAGATATGTGTTCCTCATGGCGAGAAGGTTCCGAATAAGCGAAACAGCGAATAGCGAAACTTTGCAGACATGCTGCTTTTAGCGCCTTCAATTTCCCTCAGAGTTTCTACCGTATCCTACAGTACGAAGGAAGATCGGAGATTTGCTTCATACTGCATATTGTAGCTATTACCAAAAAAATTCAAGCTTGAATTTTATTTTGCTTTTTTTTTTAAAATAACTTCCATTTCTCTCTTTCAAAGCAAATTTTTTAACATGGAAACTCATTCAAGGCATCACAACAAAGCTGTTTGGATGAAATGTACGCTCTCTGCCATCCTGTATGCATCGGACGTGTGCTGGTGAGTTTCGTGCTGAAAATCTCCTGACACCTGCACATGACCTACCTGCACTTCACCACTGACATGCACCGCTTTGCAGGCTTGTGGCTCAGCCGTCAGGCACTCTACGAGCCTGCTGTTGGGTTCATTCGAAAGGGCGTGACATCCTCGACACGATGGTATGCAAATAATTTCAGTTTGGGAAGTCCCGGAAAATTTACGGGCAGGCTGGAAAAGCTTCTGTTGTAGGCTAAGGATTTTTCAGCTAAAGCTGAAGAGAGCTTCTTTCGCCACCAGTTCCATCCTGGAAGTTCAAAACTGTCAATTTTCTTGTAATAGACGCATTTCGGAGCTCTAAGACTGTTCTGGTGTTGATAAGAGCCTTCAGTCTATTCGCTTCTAAGGCTGCACTTTTTCACCCCATCCGTAATCTCCGGGTCTTCCCAAGCTCAACTCATTTTCACACGCTTATGTCGAGGAAGTCACGCTCTTTCGATTGAGCCTACTCGCGGACTTGTAGAGTGATAGCTGGCTGAGCTACAAGCCTGCAAAGCGGTGCAAGTCTGTGTTGAGGGGCAGGTGGAGTCATGTGCACGCACTGTCAAGAGCTATTTTCAGCAAGGAAACTCACGAACACACGTCGGATGCTTAGAGCATGGCAAAGACCATACATTTTATCCAAATAGCTTTGTTGGGATGCCCTGAATATGTTTCCATGTGAAGAAATCTGCTTTGAAAGAGAAAAATAAGAGTTATTATTTTTAAAAAGCAAAACAAAATTTAAGCTTGCGTTTTTCTGGAAGCAACTACAACCTGATCATCGTCCTCGATGAGCTTTATTACATATATGCTCACCTGTCAGGAAAACTTCTATTTTGCCTTAAACAGATACTTGAAGGATAATTTTCGCGTTCGAAAAATTATTGTCCGCGACATTGTGACGCGGCCATTTTCGGACTCTTCATGATAAAAGATTTCAAAATTTTCAGATTACATGTTTTCCAGAAAGCGCAATGTGTTGGTTGTAGCTCTTGAAGAGCTCTATCATCTCATGCAACCCTATCATTTTTTCATCTTTGTTTTCCATCCAAAAATGAGTAATGGAAAAAGAAAGGCTTCTCGTCCGCAACTTATTAGCGGTCACTGTAAGTCAGAATATCTAAGAAACGGCTCACAAACTTGTTGCGCATAAAAGGATGCTATAACTTGCGCAGTGCTTGGAGTGTTGGAAAGTTTCGGAATTCTATAAAGTCAAAATAGTGTTCTTCCTCACGTCTTTTCAACATCTTGCGCATCTGAAGGCGCCTGAAAAAGGGCTGAAAACGGATAATCCAAAAGAGGGAATGGTTTTTAACCAAGGAAGTTTCGTATACAATTTGATTTATTCAAATTTCAATGGTTGGAGGACACAAAGCTTAGGCACGCGAAACGACGAGCACCGCAACAAGTCTTGCTGCGCCAACTTTCGAAAAAATGGCATGGAAAAGTTGGTAGATGAGAAAGGAACAAGCACAAACAGTGACAATACAAATCTAAGAGTGTAGTAGATTGTTTTGTTTATTTTCGAGCTTTTTGGATAAAGTTGCATGGAAAGCGAAGAAATTTGGAGAGGAAAGAGATGTCAAAAATGATTTTTTTGTCCCATAGACTTTTTCCTCAAGATGAAAAACTTCTTCAATATCTTGCTTGAAGGATAACGCACTGATTCAGAGCAAACTTAGAAGTTTCGAAAGCATGTACACTTTTTCCCAAGTGAGGTAAATATTGCTGGTAAAAATCGAAAAAAAGTGGGACAGAACCAAATACACAACTTATATACGTGTATACGTATGTGTACATATGTGGCGTTATGCTAAGTATGCGCATGTATACCTAGCATAACTCACCAGATGCCGTCATTTAACGCATGGCGCATTATGACGCAAAACGATTGGCTACTATGGTCGGCGTGCGAAGAAGATCTCTTGGTAGGGTTAAACGAAAAACAAATAGCTATCTTTGAGTCAATAAAGTATCAGGTCGCGGTTGAGCTTTGCAGCTCTTTACATAACATAACTTTTAACTCCCAAATATCGCCCAAATTTTCGGCATCAAATAGACTGTGAGTCATTCACAATCACAGCCATTTCCGCCGGTTTCTGACACCGCAGTCAAAAATTACGTAGGTTTGCGGTAAGGAGATATAAGTTTTCGATTTCTCCAGATTCTGCTGAAACTAGGACAAAATTATTAAACAAAATTGATATCACTTATTTTTTTGCTTGAAATTGCCTTTTTCCCTAATTTCGGTGTGACTCTGGCAAAGAACGAATACTGTGCTCGATTAGCATGCCAAATTGCCTTATAAGTCTCAGCAAGTTCTGGGGTTTTGCTTTTGCTGTTGATGGGTGCCCTGCGAAGAAGATTACAACTACTCGCTTAACAATTTGAGAGAACGCTAGTCCCGATTAGTTTTCAACTGCTAATTCTTTTTTACTGCGATCAGTGTGTCACTATCTGGCAACATTTTGGTCACAGTTCCGTCTCAATGTGCTTGATCTCGGTTGTGCACTGCTTCATTTTTACTTCAAACCCTGTAAGACTCAAATTTTACCAGTTTTTGGAAAGTGCCTGAAATTTTTTCCATTTCTTACTATAAAATACCGGACAGTTTATGCACATGTGTAGCCCACATCACATTCAAGATATTTCGAAAATTGACTTTGCCATATGAAAAGAGACTTATGAGAAAAGTTGCAAAACTCGATTGCACCCTTAATGGATATCAGTCAAACGATGCCGGCATAGCTGATTGACGACTACGAGAGGAGTGGCGAAGTTGAGGTGGTGTACTTGAGGAAAGAGCAAGATAGATATGGAATGGAGTGGCATATGGTTGGAGTGGAGGTATAGGTAAACGATACAAATCATTTTGTCTTTATCATTTTATACTTTAAAGGAGTGTCTTCACCGAAGTCGACATCATTCTCGCTATGCAATATTTACGGACATTGACGAAAGAATAATGGCTTTGGGAAATCAAACCCTCGCAGAGTATACTTCGTAGGTTTCGACCCAAATAATGCCCTGCTGTACTTAATATACCAAATTTTTTTTTAGAAAAGCAATGACCGAAAAGACAAACATAGGTATGCTTCAATTTCGACAGACGTGGGTGTTACGCCCCAGAAAACCTCCCAATAAGTATGAGGCATGCGCTTGTAATAATTTTTGCTCTATCGCAAAGATGTAATTATTCCAGGGAGAAGTTACGCTAAAGAAACATCTCCCCACACTTATTTTCCATAATACATCAGCTGTAGGTCCCCGTGGACACACAGTAAAATGCATTATAGATCCTCGACGTGTGAGTTTGTCATCTGTAAGGCTTGCTGTGAGTATATATTTTAGGTATTGATCATGTGGATCCACTATGTCCTTCTGTATTTTCCTGGATATAAAGGTGTTACTGTTTCTGCACCACCAGATAAAGCCATTATAAGGTTTGTAGATCTTTTATAAGACAATTTCATAAGGCCAAAGCTATCAGTGACTCGTTACCCTCTTGCAGGCATTACCGTGATCTCGTTGATGACAACTGGGGAACGACATGGATACATGAAGTGGAGAGATTCGGCAATTTCACAATGACGGATTATCCAGCGCAATTGATGGTCAAACTTTACAGAAACGTCAAAAAACGGCTTTCTCGAGTCTATGGAAGAACATAATTGCTACTGTATGAAATGTTGTCGAATTATGTGGTTTTAAGATTACTTCTTATAAAGGGAGCTAATTTACAGGGGAAATCAGGTATTTCGCGTTTTGAGATGAGACACATATATTTGGAATCAGTTTCGAACGCTGATTGCGAATATGCCATTCCTGACTGCTGCGCATCATTCTGAAACGAGTTACTGTTTTTTTTTTGAAATGCGGGAAACGCTGCTTATCTGACCTACTGTGATTGCTGTACCAACATCTGAGCGTTAATACAGTGTGTTAAGTTCTTTGCTAACTACAACTGATTTGATCTGTTCCTATTCTGATTCTGCAGCACTTTTTTCGGGCAGATATTGATATACAGGCATTCTTCCCATCATAAGCGATTCGCCAAATTAATAAATTATTTTTGATAAAAAATCAGTAACTTGCTTCAGAATAATGTGCTGCAGCTAGAAATAGCTTGTTTAGAACAAGTATTCAGAGCTGATTCCAGATATAATGGTCATCTCAAACGAATAAGATTACCTGAATTCTCTTGTTAGTTCGGGTTAAGCAAGAGACATATATACAGGGTGTCCCAATTATGTGAACACTGTTTGATCGTTGATAGCTCCCTTGCTTTCATGTCTTTTGCCGAGCCTGAGGCATCATACTGTAGAGCGAGGTTCATTTTAGATCTGCAGTATGGAGCAAGCCACCGATCGCCGTTTATTACTGTAGGATTACGGTAGGAACTTCGACAAGGATTTAGGCCGTAGGAGGCTATATTCTGCCTCGGAACAAAACCAAACAAGCCAAAAATTCTTATACAATGGTAATGACAGCCGCTGATGTCGAATATGAAATTTTCACTTTACTGTGATGCTTCTTCCCAAGGTTATCCCAAGTAAACCGTAATAGGTGAATTCCAAGCATTTGTCAGAAATGGACTACAACGTCAAAAAAGCTGAAAACACCCATAAAAAGTTATGTAGTGGATTCAGAAAAACATTGTGTCAAATGGCATATTTCACAATGGTTCCACATGCTTCTTACCGTAGTCCTACAGTAACGAAAAAGCCATAATCCGCTCTATACTGTAGATCTAAGCTGGACATCGCTCTACAGAAAGGTGCCTCAAGCTTTGCGAAGCTTGGCGTTATGAAGGCAAGGAAGTTATTAGCGATTAAACAGTGTTCTCGTTTTTTGGGACACCCTGTATATAACTGTGCTTCACCTGCTTCACACTTGCACTAGCTGTTCTATCTATATGCCTTCCTCTTGCTTGCATGATGTTGGCACTGGAACTCATCGTGCGATGCTGACCATCATGAACTATTGTAAACAACTACGCTTTTCCTTGTAGGAGCGGTAGCTTTGGGAAAAGAAAATCCTTACGTAGATTCAAAGAGAATCACGGTCAGTCACTGAAGTTACCATGATCGGGTGTTTTCCATGAAGCACAGTCACTTCGGTCGCCCACGTACCATATCCACATAGTGTTATCTACTACTTCCCATATGTTGCAACATCACAAAGAGCGCTCCGTCATCTGGCATCTCATTGCTGCCTTTAGTTTGCCGTCGTGCCACTCCAGCAACGGAGAGGTTAGAAAATCTGAGTGCACGCGCGTTTTTTTCACGCAAATTTTTCATTCGCCATTGTCTGTTTCGATTCATTTACTGGGCGGCGGTGCAGAAGGGACCAAAGGCCTTACCGCGTGTATCCATGGGGGAACGGGGAGGAGCTGGCCACGTGTCAAGAAGGATCTGGCAACCTTCCAAGCTCCGCCCTCTGTTCCGAGTCTGCGTCTTGCCCTTTTTGCTCAGGAGTTCCTTGAAGGAAAAGGCTAGTTTAAAAGACCTGAGGGTGGAGATACAAGAAAGGGAAAAACAAGTTTGTGACCTGTTTTGAAAAACGAGTCTAAAAAATGGACTTTAAAATGACTTCAAATCAATGCAATGCTAGCATTCTTTTAAAGACTGGAATTGATAAACAATTTTCAGGGAGGTAAGAGCTTTGGCTCGATTTCAAATTTTTCATGAACTCTTATAAATTGCTTCGCGAAAAACTTACTCTAAATTGCATTTTATTTTCCTGTCTCTTTTCCTGTAATTTTCTCAGTCTTTTACGATAGTCACTGCGTTAGTTGCATTTGTGCTAATCGATAGCCGATTAGTTGACCTTGCAGGGTCACCAGTCGTCTGATGAGCCAAGAAAGTCATAATTCAAGTAAAACTTTGTTCGTTAATAATTCCAGTAAATGTTTTACTCGGGGGGAGGAGGGGGTAGGGGAAGGGCGAGGGAAAAGGTGAGAAAAATTCGCGAGAAAAACGTTGAAAAGTCGTATTTCAAATAGGTGAACTTGCAAAAGTAGATCTCAAATTATTCATCAAAAATTTTCGAGTTGAATCAGACTCGGGCAAAAAGCTGCAAAAGGCAGGCAAAGTCACCAAAACTTTCTGTTGATACCCAGGATGTAGTGTTGGTCTCTATGTTAAAGTTATTGTTAAAATCACTTTGAAACTTCATTTTCGACTTATGTTCTCCCGCTTCATCACTTCGATTTTGAACAAAATTCATCAATGATTGGTAGCGGTGTTCCATTTGACCGTTAGAAAGATAACCGTTACTCTGTCCATTTACTAGGTTTATGACATGATACTACTTTTGTTATCATCCTGGTACCTGAAAGCCTGTTTGAGAATCTTCACTCTCCATTTCCCAAATTCCAAATACATAGTTTAACCTCTTCATCCATCAAATTTGATCAATATCTGGTAGTCCATCTACCATTCTTGCTCACCCACGATGGGAGCATCCTGGGCGGAGCGATGGGTGGAGCCTCTTCTGCCTTCCATTATCCTCCTTGGATACAGGCGGCAAGGACTTTGGTTACTCCTGCACCACCTCCTATTTACTGCTACCTCTTTCCCCAGCTCTGATTGGAGTAAGCTTGAGAAAACGACACACATTGATGAATGTATCATAGCCACAAAGCAACGTTTTTACACGTGTTATTTATCAAAACAGAATTCTCGAGATGTTTAAATCTTTATATTTAATCAAAGCTCAGCCGAGCAAAGCAACTCAAATGCAACTTTAGGCACAGATAGATTGAGACTCAAACACTGCAGACAACGACTGAGACGTAGAAGTAAACATGCGTAGGCATGAACTGAGTTTAGCTGGCGCTGTACCACACAATTCTTGCTCCACTTTAAACTAAAGTTCGTGCACCAGGATCGGTATTTATCAATCTCCCGCTTGCTGTCTAAGCGCTGTTTCACCCATTATACACTATCGCCTGGAAAGAAAAAAGCGTCCAACCATGATTATGAAAGTTTTGAGCGCCTGCCTTAAGCACTTCAGTAAAGACCGATCTGTGCGATTGGAACTGCCTCTCCCGACGTGATCAAGTTTGACAAATGGACTTTTAGAGGCAGCTCCCACCCGAAATCAGTTTCCATTTCTTTATTGTTATTGATGCTTTTCATGGCGCTGATCTTGGATAGGAGGTTCAAATTACCAGAGATCCCGTGATTTACCCCTTTCTGGAGCCCTACTTTGGCAGACGTGGACGAGTCCTCCGGCGCTACTCATGTCGTATGCAACAGAAAACCCCGTTGCGTTTCGACATTGCTTGTCATGCCATACCAAGCCACATAAAAAAGGCTCTTGTTACTTTGGCTTGATCGCATGAGTGTCGCTTCACAAGACTTTGCCGAATTGTAGACTTTGAAACTTGTTCCTTTCTCTCGCGATCCTAATAGTTTCTCATTTAGTAAGCTCTGTCTTCGTTTTTAGACTTTTATGATCGGCTAACAACATTTTCAAGTGAGACGTTGGCCTTTTTCTCGTTCGCTTCAAACTGCATAAATTCGTTTATACTCAGGGGTCCCAAAAATGTGCACACTGCTTGTTCTCTAACAATCTTCCTGCTTCAATGTCCTATGTCGACCTTTAGATGCCGTTCGTAGAGCTAGCTTCAACTAAAATGCACAGAATGGAGCGAATCTCCGACCTTTAGTCGTTATTGCAGGATTATGGTAGGGACTCTAGAAAAGGTCTTAAGCCCTTAGGAGTTGCATTTTGCCTCAGAAAGGAAGCCAAATAAGCCAAAATTCTCGTACTAGGCTAAATAGAGTTGCTGATTTTAGGTGTGAGATTTGCACACCACGGTCATGCTTCCTTCATTGCTTATCTCAGGGAGAGAGTAGCAAGTGCTCTTTTAATGCTTCTCAAAAATGTGAATGCACTCTAAGGCCGAAAACATACTTCACGCGATTTTAGTCGCGACGCGATTTGACAATACTCCAATTGGTCATAACTCACGTAATAGATTTCTGAATGTACGAAAGATAAGGAATTTTATTATCCAACGAAGTTATAAGTGCTGTGCCTTGGAGTCTACCAGTATTGAGTTGAAGAGGTCTGACAAATTGCCAGATCGCGTTGCGACTGAAACTGTCTGGACTATGCTTTGTCATAAAAAAAAAGTCCAATTAAAAGTTTCGTAACGTCAGCATGCTTAGAAACCGTTCTACTCAAGTTTCCAATTTTGTTGGAATTTTCAAACGACCTAGTTCACAATGTGCTTTATGCTGAAAGTTTATACCGTTAATCTTGCAGAAGGGAAGAGGAATCGAAACTTCGCTCCGTGCTAAAAGTCTGAGTTGAAGCAAACGAGTTTTTAACGACCAAACTGTGCACAATTTTGGGCCTGTGTACTGTAAAAATCAAAATTATACGTCGACCCTGAAAGATGCCGTAGCTCACTCGGTTGTTGATGAACTGAAATCTGGTATAACTGTATGTTTACCAGATCGTTATAAGACATCAGAACGGGCCCGTTCGGTTAATCGAGAGAAGTGCAGAATTTTTACAAAAAGCGGGCGTCAAGACTTGCCGCAATTGTAGGTGCAACTGAACTTCCTTAAACTTTTTTTCCGTTGAGGCCCTTCTCAGCTTCCAAACTCAGGTACACATTTGAAAGTGTCAAGCAGCTGCTTCAATTGAACTATAT